ATTTACACACTCCCAACCTCGGTAATTATACGCATCTATCCGACATATTTCACCTATCATACTTTTTTCCTTGAAAACGCGTCTGATTTTGCTCCCGGTGGCGTATTGGTCTCGGTAACTATTCTGGCATTACTGTACTGATATTACATAGGTAGGCGACGTTGCCTGATGGACTACTGGTAAGATAAGGAAAGCATGTCAAGGACTAGTTGAAAGGACCTGTTTGACCTGTTTCCTCAGCGGGTTTAATTTGTGCTGAACGCAGTTGTTAAAAGGGGTCCTTGAATAATTATTAAATTTAATTTCTGTAGGAAGGGATTTCCCAAACAAAAACATAATCGACATCTTCTATATCGCTGTGTTAGCAGTAATACTATCGTCATGTTAAATCACCTTTTTGTATCTCTTTATCTGTAAGTATTGTGCACGCATACCGAGAAGAAGCTCACTATGTGATTCCTGACGTGCAATTCGGCTTTCGGTCTGAACAGCTACAGGCGGTTAGGCTGGTGGAACGAGGAACCAGAGGATTCACCCTTAACGAAAGTACTGGCATCTTGCTTTTGGATGTCTCAAAAGCATTTCACAAGATGTGGCACGCGGACCTAATCCAAAAGGGCTTCCCTTTTTGGCTTCTAAAACTACTGAAATGCTTCCTTGAAGGTAGGAAATTTCGGATCAAAATTGACCAGGTCCTGTCGACAACACGGCTGATTACAGCCGGCGTCCCTCAGGGTTCAGTCCTTGGACCTATCCTTTACTCACTGTAGATCCATGACGTCCCTAGTCCCAGCAACTGTAAAGTCTATCTCTATGCTGACGATAGTGGATTGGTGGCTCAGTCGTGGTCTGGTCACCTAGTCCATGACAGGCTGCGGTGGAGGAAGTATTAGATTGGGCGGATTGGTGGTTAACTAAAATTAACCATTCGAAAACGCAGACAATCTACTGTACAAAAATGAATGGACTTCGTATACCATGGGAATCCTCCGCTAAGTATCCCGGTGTCATTCTGGACAAAGGGATGACTTGGCGGAACCATATCGAAGCGCTAAAAACTAAATTCCAAATTACGTTTAAACAGCTCTACCCATGATTATGTAAATGTTCAAAATTAAGTTTGATTAACAAGATTCGACTCTATAGGGTGGTCATAAGACGAGCAATGACTTACGCATGTGCGGCTTGGTGTTTTATTGCTAAAACGCACATGCGAAATCTGCAGGTTCTGCAAAGCATTACTTTGCGCACTATTGCTGACGCCTCATGGTATGTCTCTAACGAAACTCTACATAGAGACCTCGATGTCCCTTACCTAAAGGACTACATTAAGCAACAGGCGCAGCGGCGCTATAGCCTAGCGGAATCGCACAGCAACCCTCAGTGGACTACACAGTCGAGCAAGTTCGCAAGCACAAAAGGCCGCGGCTCGCACTGTAATTAAAATTAATTCGTGAACTAAGAACAACCAAACTTGGAGCATTTTGACAAAATCGAATATTTTTAGACCATATCAAAATCTTTAACAATGCCTAAACGCTGCCTATCCTAAAAGATTCTCTTCTTCCCCTTTGTTCTCGTTCTTCCTTCTCTCCTTTCATTCCATTTTTTCCTTAAAATTGTCTGGTTTCTGGGTTACCAGACCTGACAGACTTACAAACCGAGACTGTGCCTCAAGAGCTAAGGTCCCACGGACCGCTCTGACAACCAACGATGACTTGACCGGGAAGAAGCGATGACATCTGTCATTATCTGTCAAACGTCACTTGTCTTCGGCCTCTCGTCTGATTATGCGTAACAGATCCCAACAGAAGAGCTTTGCTTCCGTTCTGGTCAATTTCTTATAACGATTTAGCTCTCTTCCATCAGTGTATGAATATAATATCCGCTATTTGTTTTAGAAAAAGCGCAAAACCACAAGTCGCTTGCTCAATACGCTCCAAGTTATACCGTTCTCAGCAACATAGACGTTTGAGACACAACGCAGTGCAAGGAGACCACACGTGTGATAGATGCGGAAAAACCTTCTCCAAAAGAAAATCGTTACATTCCCACGTGACCAAAGTACATATTAACAGAAACAAACATAAATGTGATCTATGCGATAAAGGATTCTCAATGCCGTCTCATCTGCAAGAGCACAAACTCAGAGTGCATGAGCATGTCTACAGATACTCGTGCGATGTTTGTAAAAAAGGTTTCAGTCATCCAAAAGAACTGAATAATCATAAAAAGACGCAACACGAAGGCGTTCGATTCAAGTGTACTGACTGTGGAAAGACCTATAAGACGGAAAGTATATACAACCAGCATCTAGCTACACACGAAGAAGATTTCTCACAAGAAAAATACCGCTGCGACAAATGTGAAGCGGTCCTAACCACAAGAAGAGGTTTGATGAAGCATATCGAACGACATCACTCAGGCTGGATGGGAACACCATGTAACTATTGCGGGAAATTAGTGAAAGAAATAGAAGCACATTTAAGGATCCACACCGGGGAAAAGCCGTATCAATGCACCTTCTGCGGCAGATGTTTTGCCAGTAGAGGGTCCCTGAGGACGCACCAAATGCTTCACACAAAGGAGAAGAGGTACTGTTGTGGGGTATGCCAGAAAGCGTTCACTCAACGGACGCCCATGGTGGTGCACATGAGGTCCCACACTGGAGAGAGGCCGTATCAATGCGACTTCTGTTCGAAGAAGTTTGTTACCAGCTCTAAGTTGCAGAGGCATAAAAGGAATAGTTGTCAAGGGCCCACTGGCTAAAAGAAAGTCTGTACCTTAGGATTTCTGCTTTAATATGCAGGTGATACATACTAAGTGACATATAAATCCGAACACCCAGTTTAAATGGTTTTATTTTAATAAAAGTTGGTGAATGCATTTATCTTACTGTAAATAACAAGTGAACAAATTTTCAGCCTTATCAGTTGGACATTCCGGTTTTTATACTGCTTTTTTTTTAATTCACTAACGCTCTAAAAATGAATATTTCAGCCGCAGTAAAGAATCGACGTTGGCGGATTTTGGTTCTTGACATCCTTTACGATCGGTTACGATGCCTAGAGTACGGAGACCTGTACGATTTCGTCAACTTAGTGAGTTTGATAGGGGCCGTATAGTGGGACTTCGGGAAGCTGGACTTTCTTTTCGGGCAATTGAAGTGTAGACACTGTGGTTAGGTGTTGTCAGGCATGGCTTCGAGAAGGCCGTACGCAAAGAGCAAGGGGCACTGGACGCCGCCGTAGAACAACAGACCGTGAAGATCGCCGCCTAAGATTATTGGCCTTAAGGGTCCGTTTCTCCACTACCAGGTCCATTGCAAATGAATGGTTTGCAGAACACGGAAGACCTATTGGCATGCGAGGTGTTTACTGACGAATGAGAAGTTTTGGCTTGTTTTCATACCGGCCACACTGGGTCCTCCCTTTAACTCGAGAACACCGACGTAATCGCCTTGAGTGGTGCAAACAACGGTCACTCTGGAATCAGGAATGGAACAGTATTGTCTTTAGCGACGAGTCTCGATTTTGTTTAGGCATGCACGATGGTCGTGTCAGGGTTAGAAGGCGACGTGGTGAAAGGAGGAATCCACAGTTTTTTGTTGAAAGACATGCTCATCACACTGTTGGAGTTATGGTTTGGGGTGCTATAGCTTATGGTTCCAGGTCAGCTTTAATCTTCATCAGAGGTAACATGAACGCGCAACGTTATATCCACGAAGTTCCAGAACCCCATCTTTTATCCTATCTTGACACCCTGGCAGATCCAACTTTCCAACAAGATAATGCCCGATCACAGGTTGCATGAGTCACAATAGACTTCTTTTAACATAATGATGTCACATTGTTACCATGGCCACCAAGATCTCCCGACTTATCTCTAATTGAGCACGTGTTGGATATGATGGGTAGGAGATTGCTCAATTTGCAACGTCCTCCTCAGACTCTAGAAGCACTTCGAGAGGAGTTGGTGGTTGCCTGGAATGAGATACTACAGGAGGACATTGACCACCTGATCAGAAGCATGCCTAGGCGCGTTGGAGAATGCGTAGCACATCAGGGTGCATCGACACATTATTAAAGGTCAAAGGGCTTTAAAGCAGTGCAATCATTTTGAAAATCTTATCATTTACTTATTATGCTTCATTAAGTACTTATACAAAATTTTATCAAAATAAAACCATTTAAACTGGGTGTTCGGATTTATATGTCACTTAGTATATCTACATATGAAAGTTGATGCTTTTGACGACAGCGAGGTGCGATAATAGAGAAAAGTGCCCAAATTCGGACCTTCATTTCAAAAGTATACGGCAACGGTTATTTATAATGTTAAGCATCGTTTACAAGTTCATAAATTGTAGATGAAAAATATTAGAAAAAAGTAATTCCAAACCATTGATTTGAAAATTTGACACTTCGCAATGATGAAATATCAGATTATTTCCTCTAGAAAAGTATTCAGTATTATTAAGTCAAATTTCACGCTTAGAAAGTTCATAAAGGTCGATGAATATGAGTTGCCATACTGAAGAAATAAACATTTTGAGTATAGACATAGAATGTAAATAGGATTACCTCTGTCACATGAAATCTGAATAAAGATTCATTTTATACCTCTTCTTTATTTTGTGTAATGTGTGCGGATATCACATGTCTATTAGCCTTTGAACTGCTTCAAATTCATGATATACAAACGGACCTTGCTTTTCTGACCTGATTGCCATGATGCCGCTACGTTTTGAGCTTGGTAGGTGGAGGCGCTAGGCTTCAGTACGATAATTCGTTTAGTTCTAATCGACTTTTAATAGCTCAAAAATCACATCATCAAATAACTTTAACTCAACTCATTTCATTCTTGGATAATTTTGGACGCCGAAGTACGGTATCAGGTAGAATTCTTTAATCAATGCTGTCATTCATTGTAGGCTATAGGCATAGGAACATTTTGTAATCTTCAGTGTAAATGTAGTTCGCGGTTGTCGAATGCCGGGGCACCACGGCTGCTAAGAGGAGCTTAAATACTTATTGAGGAAATAAATCCGTATTGGTAAGTTAGTAACTTGATCGAAAATACAGAATACTGACTTCATGTTTCTAGGACATGGAAACAAGTTTCCTTTTCGTCTGAGAAAAATAAGGAAACGTCAGCTTCTCTCAGAAAAAGAAAGGTGTTCGCTTGCGAACATTGCAATGAATCGTTCACGAATGAAGTAAAGTTTGGAGATCATTGCTCTCGTGTTCATGGTAAGCATTGATTTCTTAAGCCATGAAATCATCTTCTTCAATTTACACTATGTGCAGGAACTCGATTCAAGTGCAGCATTTGTGATAAAACATTCGCATCTATACAATACGTATCGAGGCACAAGAGGAGTGAGCATTACAGAAATTATCCATATATTTGCCAGCGTTGCAATAAAGGTTTTTGGTCCGAGAAGAAACTTCAGAAGCACAGTGCTATTCAACACGATGGAAAGAGGTAAGTAAAATATGACCATACAAATTGTTTTCTTGAATTCATATCACTTTTTATCCGCAGTCCAAAAATATTTTCTAAAAATTCTTCCATTAAACTTTTATACTTTTTATTTTAGGTTCTTATGCGATATCTGTTGCAAGTCCTTCAAGAATGAACAATACTTCAAAGTGCATCAGAAGCATCACGATAAATCATTCAAGCGTAAAGAGTACGAATGCGGAGAGTGTGGTAAAGTTTACAGTACCGTTCAGTCGTTCAACTTTCACAAACGCCAACATGCTGGCAACATCGCCAGTGTTTGCAATGTTTGCGGCAAGAAAATGACGTGTATCTCGAAACATATGCGACTACATACTGGCGAAAAGCCTTTCAGGTAAATAATTATTTATAATCAATTGCTGCTCATTGAAATAACCTCATTTAAAACCATCGACTTTTTTGGCTGTTTGGAGATCAAGTATCTATTTTCATTTTTCATTCCTGGCTGTAGCACAAGGTAGACCAGAAAGACGTACGAATTTCAAAACCGCATTGCTCGTACACGCACGCGGGAGCGGGAAACGGTTAGTGGGGATACCTAGCTTGCTGTTCGGAAATTTAGTTGCCATAGATCATTTGACCGGTGAGCAGCCTGCGTTCTGTGTTGAGGCTCATTACAAAAATGGAGATTCGTGCACTATTGCACGGCGTCTGTCTCGCTCTGTGTTTAGTTTACATGATCTAAATCAACGTCCTAGTGAAAGTGTGATCAAGTCGTGAGTCAGAAAGTTCGAGTCCAAGGTCAATACGAACTGAGGAAACTGCAAGCGAAGTTGCGACGTTATTCCGTGGCCTCCCCGGAGCCCAGATCTCACGGAAATATGATAGATTTCTTTTATACAGTTTGATATCCAGAGGTCGAACATTCATCGTTCCTAATCACGATTCGATTTCGCCTTGACTTATCCCTTTTTTTTGAAACATCCAACAAAGGTGTAGGAAACATAGACTCAATCTACCTGACGTAATTCTTATATAATTTTTTCTGTTGACTACGATTCGGGTAATAGATATGAAAAACGACTGAAGTGACACATGGCAACGTTTATCAAAAGCACATCATATCCCTCAAGTTGAATGAATAGGTGCTAGCGAGCCATTTTTCCAAAATCGTGACGTTACGTTACGTGGACTTTCACATCCTTCGAACGGCATTTAAGAAAAAAAATTAACACTGAGCGATGGATTAGTGAAGTTTCATTTATTTTAATTTTTCAGTTGCGATTTTTGCGGAAAAACCTTCACGGAGTCCAACGGTCTAAAAAACCACAGACGAACCCATACGAAAGAGAAGCCTTACAAGTGTAAATTGTGTGGAAATTGCTTCACCCAGGGTAACACTTTGAGAATTCATATGCGGTATCATCGAGATGAAAGACCGTTTCGGTGTTACATTTGCTCCAAGGCGTACGTCACCAAAACTCTTCTGAAAAAACATAAGTGTGGTGGACCCCCAAAAGATGACGCTTAAATATATCGGATCAGCAGATAAAAAACAACCAGACAAACGGAAGGTCAACTCGTGACCGCTAGATGACTGACGATTCTGGCTGTAAAGTATAAGTGTGGTCTACTTGCCAATGAATATACAGGGTGTTCCTTAATGATATGCGAATATTTAAGGGTGTGAATCTACATGAGAAATTAATGTTAGTTTGCTTTATAAACGCTTTATAACTTTCACTACGTACTAAATATCAGTGAAATATCTGAAGCGGTTCTGAAAATATTAATTAATTTCCATTTTTTTCCCTAAAACTTCAACACCCCGAATTTATGTAAGGAAACATTTTTGGACCATAGTTTATAAAAAAAAATTAATTAACACCCTGTATATTAATCTCATTTCTTTAGACCTTCCTGGTAAAACTAATAGTGTGTGATAAGTTATTTTCTGCTGACATACTTTAAGATTCTCCTGCGATTTTAGAATAGTTTGTGATGCTTCTGCTGTTTACAAGTTGCAGTGGAATAATGTATTGTTTACACATAGGTTTGTCATCCGTCCAATAAAAAATTTTTGCATTTTTTTAATTATCTGTCATTTTAAATCCCCCTTTTCCCCATCTAATGGATAATTTCTCTACAGGGTGTCAATTATGTACCATAAATTTATTAGACGAATTTTAAGAGAATAAGTTTATGAAGGGTTGTCCAATAGGGACGTAGGAAAGTAAACGTCAATTTGACATAGACGCCATCTTTGTTTTCTGTCACCGACATGTCATTTTGTTAGTTGAATGTTTACCATTGATCGCTATGGAGTCGTATTCGATTGGAGACCGCATTAAAGTTATTCAAGAGCACTACAAAAATGGTGCAAAAATAAAAAACACGTTTCGCGCGCTTCGTGAACATTTCGGTCGCAACAACCGCCCAAACGAAACAACCGTCGGTCGTCTGGTGGCAAATCTGCCAGGCTCTGGCCGGCCAAGGAGCGTTCGCACACCGGAAAATATTGCTGTTGTGAAGGAGAGTGTGAGAGACGATCCGAAACAATCAACAACGCGTCGATCCCAAGAATTGGGCATTTCGAGAACCAGTTTGCTCCGCATTCTCCACAAGGATTTGAATGTACACGCCTACAAGATCCAATTGACGCAAGAGCTGCGTCGGGCCGACCATTTTTCGCGCCGAACGTTCTCAGATTGGCTCCTTGAACATCGGCAAATTGATGCCAATTTTTCATCAAAAATCATGTAGCAACGAAGCGCATTTCACTTTGAATGGGACGGTAAACAAGCAAAACTGCCGCATCTGGGCGAACGAAAATCTCCGTGAGTATCAAGAGCAGCCGATGCATCCTCAAAAAGTGATTGTGTGGTGTGCATTGTGGTCAAAAGGCATCATCGGACCTTACTTTTTCGAAAATGCGGCCGGGGACGCCGTTACCGTCAATTCTGAGCGATATCACGTGATGATAGAGGACTATTTTTTGCCGCAACTTGAAGGAATGGATATGGACGATGTTTATTTCCAAAAAGACGGTGCAACATGCCACACAACCAACGTCAATATCCATCGATTGCAGTCCTTCTTCGGTGATCGCGTGATTTCGCGCAGAGGAAATGTGCCATGGCCACCGAGATCGTGCGATTTGACTCCCTTGGACTTCTTTTTATGGGGATATTTGAAAAGCAAAGTCTACGTCAACAAACCAGCCACCCTCCAAGAACTCAAAAACAACATCATTGCCGAGATAAATGCCATAGAACCGACCATGTTGCAAAAGGTCATTGGTGAACATTTGAGCGATGTTATTTTTCATACATAAATGGTATAAATGAACCTTCAAAATAAAGTACCCAACTTGATTTGAATATCAATCTTTCTTGTTTTAATATGCGTTTACTTTGCTGCGTCCATTTTGGACAACCCCATATAACCATAGGTCCGAAAATTCTTCATTCTCAAGATACAGGGTGTTAAAAATAAAAAAATGCTTTTTCGTAAATATCTCAACTATCCTTTACCTAATTTTGTTGTAATTTGGCGGTGGTATTTATAACATTAAGGAGCTAATTTGGCCCTAGCTTGATTCAATTTATTAAGCCCAGTGGCGTCCCGAGCGGGATCTGAACGAATATTTGTGTCAAAAAAATATACGCCAGTGACTTTTGTGCAATTTTTATTACGTTTTTTAGATTGAGCAAAAAGAAATACATTTTTGTCTCTTGAATTTTTTTCGTATATTGCTTAGTCTTCGAGGAAACAAAGTCCACTTAATTGCTTATCCCTGGACTAGTAAAAGTTTTGTTTGGTATTTATTATTTTTTTATTACGGATTATGTAACAACTAATAAACACTAAATCAAGGGTAAATGATATTTAAGAAATTTACGAAAGAACTTTTTTTCGCAATTGTATACCCAGTATCTTGAGAACGAAGAATTTGCGGTCCTATGCTTATATGAACTTTTTGTCTCAAAATTACTCAAAGAGTCTTTTGAAAGTATATATATTAATATGTATACAGGGTGGTCGGAAGATCGATGCCATCCTTTTAAGGGTGATAATGCACCCCGTTTAGAACAAATGGAGTCCCTTGTTCGATAACGAAGCGCAATTTCTTTGTTCTCTTATTTTTAATAATCTTAACGTATGCTCTTCCTATACAAGTAGTTTCCAAGCTATCGAAATATCGGGTACACCTTATAAAGAACAATGTTGGAATACTGAATGGTTCGATTTCGCAGTGCTTTGTGGCATTTTAGTGTAATTTAAAATCAGTAAAAAAAACCTTTACTTCTGCTCTTTTTTATGGTATATTATACAGGGTGACCGGTGAAATGTATTTGGAATTACTGAAAGACGCCATAGATCCTGCATTAACAGCCATAATTGAAAATCAGAATGATCAGCGGTACATTGCGAATAGGTTGATGTTCCAACAGGATTGTGCCCCACCACATTACGCATTATGTGTTCGACAATATTTAGATCAGACGTTTCCAGATCGATGGATTGGTACTGATCGACCAGCCAAAGATTGCTAGGGACGAAAGGGGGAAATGCGATGAAAAAACCTTACCATTAGACGATTTTATATGGAGTCATAGGCGGAGATCGGAGAGACTTGAATTATTAATTGAATTTATATTTTATTACAACTGGTAGTATTAATATTTTTTTGCGATTCATAATGACGTGATACCAAACATACATTATAAGAAATAAATATACACAAACACTGAATATTGAGAACAAAATAAATATATTTTTTAGGCAACAAGTAATATTCCTATGTACGCATTACGATTGAACAGCAAAACAAATTATGCATTCTTCTAAAATAGAATACAACAAGTCAAAAATATCTGACTGAATAGAAAAATATAGGAAAACAAAAAGTAATTTCTTGATGAAATAACCCATAAACAACACATAGAATTAGACTTTCTACTGAGATACTAAAAGCCACAAACCAATAGTATAATAAATGAATATCTAAAAATTCTAAAAGGTAGCCAATCTAGTATAGTTTCAATCCTGATTAGAGTCATGATCACTGTCTGAGGAACTGTCATTGCTATCACTTTCACCTCCTATGTTGATTATTATTTCTTCCTGTATTTCTTGAATGAGACTGTCTTTTTCCCAATATTCATCTTCAATTTTTATAACATGTCCAATAACCTTTTGCCAGTCACTGGCACTTACTGAAGCGATGGCCTTATTAGAAATTTCATCTAGTTTTTTTATAGTAAATTCGCCGCTTGTATTATGGCTTCTAATGAAAAATTTTACTTGTGCCCAAATCATCTCTATGGGATTAAACTGACACATATAGGGTGGCGTTCGAAGTGGGGTGTGTCCGAAACTTCTTATTAAATTATCTATCTTATAATTTTTCTCATCAGATGGTGGCCTATGTAGACAAGCTATTTCATAAAGCTCCATTTTTTTAGCATTAGGATCATGCTCTATACCTTTTTTGCTCAACCACGTGATGATGTCTCTTTTTAGAGAAGATCTAGTTGGAGGCTTGTCTTCCAAAGCTGAATGGTAAGGTGCATTATCCATTATTATAATACTATTAGGAGGAATGTTAGGAAATAGTTTTTCAGTAAGCCACTTCGTGAAATTTTCTTGGTTCATTTGACCGTGATAATCACCAGTGGCACAGCCAGCCTTGAAAATGAGACAGGCTCCAGGAACAAAACCATCTTGCGAACCCGCATGAACAATTATAAGTCGTCCTGGAAATGAATAAATAGCCTCATTTTAGTGTTATTTTAAGTTTGCCAACACCTTTTTGAATCACTATGTATAAAAAACATATTTTTGAGAAAAAAATACTTGCAAGGGATTATGTATTCAATTAGACAAATTAAATGAGCACTTATTAAGAATATTCCAAAATTGAGAAAAATGTATAATAAGCAAAATCGAGGTGAAAGAAACTTTATTACCTGTAGAACTTATATTGCTCAGGACACCCATAATTTCTTCGCTTTGCCAGCATTTCTTGAAAGTGAGGTCATTATCAACCCAAGTTTCGTCCAAATAAATAATATGCCTTCCTTCTTCCCGGAACTTTTTAATAGACCTAAGATACTTGTATCGCCAATGTAAAATACTGGGTCTTTCCATTAGTAATTTCCTTTTGTTGTGGCATTTACGCCAGTAAAATCCTTTTGCTTTTAAAAGCAGCCTCAACGATTCTTTACCAAATGGAAATTCCATTTCTTCCTTCAGTTTGATTAGAAGTTTACTACAAGTAGGTACCACTTTAAAATCACAGTAAAATTTTTCTATCATTCTCCGAATAATGGAAAAATCGACTCCATCAATTTTTTGGATCACAGAAGGGCGTGATCTCTTTTTTCCGGGAGAAGCTAAAGGCTGTGTGGAGGTTGCATTTTGCCTGTCTTTATCTTCTTTTCTAATTTTACTTATAGTTCGTTCACTAACACCCGTATAATATGCCGCCCTTGCATTTCTAGCTACCAGTGGATAAACGAAAGTATTGTTAGCCGCTTCTGCATCGCAAGCACGTATCACGTTTGCTATTATTTCCCTTGCCTGGCTGTGAATAACTTTCCCATGCTTGAATTCCATTATCACCACTAAACAGTAAATTATATTTTCAAAGTATTTGCCAACTGCCTACGCCTATGGGAGTAGGTTTATAAATGACCGTGCCATCGGCACGTTATTCTAGTTTCAGATAAGATAAGAGTTTTGGACCAATCAGCGACCGGATGTTTACCTGCGGCCTGGGTTTTCCAGCTACATTGCCAAATTCAGCGGAACAATTCTATATCTTAAATATGTTAATATGTATGGACCGCATTTTATGTAGAATATCTGACAACTTCGCAATTTTTTGTCCGCATTCTTTCGGCTTGCAATCTTTCGCTGGTCCAACATTAGAAGAGGTGCCATTGAATGGCTCCCAAGATCGCCAGATTTATCACCTTTGGATTTCTTTATGTGGGGTCATTTAAAAAGCAAAATCTAGGTTACTCAGCCAACATCATTAGATGACCTGCGACAAAGAATTATGAATGAGTGCCTTCAAATTACTCCTCAAATATTGCAAAATGTGCGGCAACGTTTTGACCAAAATCTTTATTATTGCATGGAGAGTCATGGTGGCCATTTTCAACATTTACTTGCCTAATGGGTCAGTTCATTCTTCATTTTTAAATTACTTTGCTGCCAAATGTATTGATCTCCACTAATGATGATGTATTAGTTTTATTTAAGCTTTAAATCAATAAATCTTCAAAACTACTGAACTGAAGTACATTGATTTTATATCATTATAAAGAGAATTGAAAGACCTTTAAAATAAGGTATCACTCGACCCCCCTTTCCATTTAAGATTTTGGGGGTGGTGTCACCCCCGCTTAGGGGGCTGCACGTGCTAACGTGATTTTTTGCCAAACTTGTGTCCCCCTCGAAAACAAAATCGACGGATTTGAGCGTTTTTCAAAAAAAAAAAATTGAGCTGCCAGTAAATGCGTCTGTTTCGTTTTCGATGCGCCACCCTGTATAAAGCGATATAACCATTTTTCCAGCAATAACCCAAAGTATCAGATCAAACATTGACTCAAAATTAAAAAACCTTTTATACAATGGAAGTCCGACAAACGCCTCAAGTGAAAGTAAATGACGGAATTATTTTCTCTAGCTATTAAGATGCGTTCAGACGTTTTATGTTTATATCTAATATTTTCAGATCTTCTCTCGGTAAAACGTGCTGCGGTATAACATTTCAGAGCAGAACGACGCTATGGAGGCACAAGAAAAAGCACGATAAAGAAAAACGAACCTGCGAGATGTGCGGCAAAGTCGTTTTCGGCGAATATTCATTAAAAAACCACATATACATCACGCACAATTTCAAAACGCACGTTTGCGAAATATGCAACAAATCTTTTCGCTGGTATTCGAAGCTCAAAGAGCATATCAAATTCCGACACTACAACGAACGTAAGCCGCATAAGTGCGAGCTATGTTTGAAAGAGTTTGAAAACAGAACTCATCTAGCCGAACATACTAGAGTGGTGCACGAAGGTTTTCGGTACACTTGTACCGTTTGCCGGAAGACTTTGAAATCCAAGTCTCACTTTAGGGCACACGTTAAAACTCACGATGAAAACTATGTAGAAGAGCAGTACACGTGCAAGATCTGCGACGCTGTTCTGAAGACGATCCAAGGCTTCAACCACCACATGCGAACTCATGAAAACAAGACTCAAGGGATCTGCGACATTTGCGGAAAGGTGATGAATAAAAGCTTTTTAAAAATGCACATTAGGATACATACAGGAGAAAAGCCCTTCAAGTGCGGAATTTGCGGTAAAGGTTTCTCTACAAAAATGGCATTGAAGACGCATAACAGGATACACACTAACGAAAAACCGTATCAGTGTAACATATGCAACTCAAAATTTACACAAAAAGGGACGTTAAACGTGCATATTAGGTACCACACCGGAGAAAGACCTTATGCGTGCAGTCGCTGTAGCAAAAAGTTCGTCACCAAGACTGCGATGAAAGGACATCACTGTAAAGGCAGCTAGGTGATATTTTTTTGTTGTTTTGTTAATAAAATTTTCTATATTTGCTCGTGTTGTTTCGTACTTTATATCTCGTACTCTTAACCTAATTCAAAAGCATCACCGAAATGACTTGATACTATTCGTCATAGCGGTCCGGTGGACCTTTGCTCTTAGTTAAAAGTCTTGTCGGTCTGTTAGTCTGTCAGGTCTGGCTACCCAGATACCAAACATGTTTAAGGAGAAAAGAGAAAGAAGGAAAGAAAGGAAGGAAGAAATAGAGCAAAGAAAATAAGTAAATCATTTGAAATAGCTCAAGTATTATTGCTTTGACTACTCGAATTATATTGTAATTTTGATCGGTTTTGTATACTGCAATAATTTTCGGTGGTCTGAATTTATAATTTAATTTTGACGAAATGACTTGATGTGAAGCGTTACTTTGGTAACATTATCTAAGACTTCAGTCACGATTGAATCACTGTTTTCTTGAAGCTAGAATTTTGCTTTGCATGGTGTATGGATCCTGTTTCCCAGTCAGATACGGTAAGGTATAAGTCGTGCAATACAGGGTGTGAAAAATTAATGTTAGTTTGCTTTATAAACTTTGGTCCAAAAATATTTCCTTAGAAAAACTCGGGGTGTTGAAGTTTTAGGGAAAAAAATGGAAATTAATTAATATTTTCAGAACCGCTTGAGATATTTCACTGATATTTAGTACGTAGTGAAAGTAAATAAGGCTGCATATTTTTCAATGCTAAAATAATTTTTAGCTTTAACAGTGGACTGCGTACGGGTATTGACTTCGATATTTTTTAAGAAAGAAATGGTACGCCAATGGTTTTTTGCTAAATAAAAATTATTTTTGAATTCCCCGTTCAATTTGAAACAAATGATCTCTCTCGAGTTGCTTTCCTTCGATGCGCCATTTTTGAGTAAAAAATAAAAACCGTTCTATTGTCCGCGAAAATTAATGTAATAATTGAAGAACGCAATTTAGCAATAAATATGAGGTTGCTCTGGAATATGTGACTGGCTTTTGACATCTGACAAGTCTCTTTTTGTGGAGCTATCTTAAGACACTAGTCTACACAAGCCCCATTAACACTGTAGAGGAATTAAGAGAAAGAATAGTTGCAGCTTGTGATAGAATAAAAAGCAATCCAGGGATATTTCAACGAGTCAGCAATTCCAAGAGAAGGAGGGCGGAAGCATGCATACTAAGTGAAGGGGGCCATTTTCAACAATTTTTGTAATCATTTCGTTGGTTTTAGTGTTATGTTTATGTTGTCAGTTGTTGTTGTTCATTACCCCTAATTTGTTTAATTTTTCCAATTAAATTAATAATAATTTATAATAAAGTTAGACAATAGAACGGTTTCTATTTTTTTACCCAAAAATAGCGCAACGAATTCAAGAGATATCATTTATTTTAAATAGAACGGGGAATTCAAAAATAATTTTCATTTGGCAACAAACCTTTGGCGTACCATTTTTTTCTTAAAAAATTTCGAAGTCAATGCCCGTACGCACGGCACTGTCAAAGCTAAACATTATTTTTGCATTGAAAAATATGTAAATTTATTAACTTTCACTACGTACTAAATATCAGTGAAATATCTGAAGCGGTTCTGTACATATTAATTAATTTCCATTTTTTTCCCTAAAGCTTCAACACCCCGAGTTTTTGTAAGGAAACATTTTTGGTCCACAGTTTATAAACCAACCCAACATTAATTTTTCATCTAGATTCACACCCTTAAATATTCGCATATCATTAATTTTAAGAAACACCCTACATATGGTAGAAAGAATGCGCCTTTGGCCTCAGTGGCCTTGTCGCTCGGGTTGCTAGGCAGCGAGGTGCTTCTATCTCTTACACATTACAATCTACGAAAGATTAGGTAAAAAGATACGACACGCGTCAATATTCAATCCATGTGGGCAAGCTGTGCTGCTTGTTTATTAATCGGATTTGAACAAATTGAAAATTATACACTCCTATTGCAATAACGATACCACGTTAGTTTCCGGTATCTTCAAGGAGCTGTTCAGGATTTGCGAGTAAATTCACACCGGTTTTCTGAACGATTCTATCCTGCTGCGTGTCAAGGCAGTGCTTAAAATTTTTCATCAATGGGACGGTAAGTATTTCTTTACTTTCTTCCTGTTGTCATTTCAAGCATAGTTGTATATTCTGGCTTATACCGCATGTTAACTGACAAGTTGTATAGCTAATTGGCTATAACTTGGAAGTTAACTGTCAGTTGTCCGAGAATTTCTTTTGGAAGGTCTGGTTATGCAATGTGTAATTGTTGATGAGATAATTAGTAGTTCCATAGACAAACACAATATTTTAGCTGGCACATCATTTTCAATCAAATAAGTGAATAATAATATGTCCACGACATACCTATAAACCCTATCTCACGAGTGACGATCACGTTTTGACGTCTCTTTTGTATGCAAATGAAATTTTTGTCAGCAGGTATATAATGAATCAGTAGGGTACAAAAGACCAAAACAAAGTACGGCTCTGTCTAGCTGACGTTGACCGATCCGTCAGAATTATGTCATTTGTCGATATGGGGAATTTTGAAATATTACTAGATAGTCAGCTGTCATTCTACCATAATGGATACTCGTGAAAAGACTTATACGTGAACGAGAGGGAGAGAGAGAGGGAGAGATGCAGACGTAAGAGAGATGTCACATGTACAGAATCTGAAATACGTCTCTGACGATAAGCTTTAATCTCGACACTTTTGGCTAACCCCCCACTCTATTAGTTTGCCCTCCTTTATCTAGTTTTCATGGGATACAATTATTTATCTAGATCAATGATTCCCAAAGTGGTCTATATCGACCCCTAGGGGTCTATGACAACCTGCAAGGGGTCTACGTCAGCGAAAAAAAATTTGGGGGTCCATGAAATGAATATGGGGGTCCACGATAGTGGATCTCAACACATACACTGATAGTACCTATTTACTTACATCATACTATCTTATAATATCAAAACATATACATTATTTATAAAAGTACCTAAGAAGTAAAAAATTTATTTATTATATATTTTTATAAAATTGTGTAAGTTGTAGGATGTTGGTATTCGCTTTGTGGTCGCAATACATTTTGAGCTTGTAAAAACGTGAGAGTCGCAGTCTCAGAGCTTCGCTACCTTGCACTGACTTGTTCAATTCGTCACTCTATAAATACGAATGTGGGACAAATACGTTTATTCGTTTCCTGAATCTTGAAAAGGAAAGTGCTAAGAAAATATTTTAAAAAATATAAACAGATAGTATAACACACAAATTATAGTGAGTCAGTGTTATTTTGTTTGAGAGTGCTGGAGAAAAGTAAGTACATTATTTTTTACTAAATTTTAGTTTTGTACTCGTAGTTAGCAAAGATAGATGAATTTCGCCAATCATGTACTTTAGTTATTAGTAGTTAAATATTCAATCGTGCAAAATTACACGAGTACTCCTCAATCGTTTCTTTTTGAAAGTTTGGCAATCGATAATATAATTACAGTGCAATCTCCGTAATTCGAGCTAATTGTTGCAAGAAGATGAATTGTGGAATGTTTTCGGAAAAATCTAAAAATATTTTTAATATACAGCTGCTGGATTTTCTGTCTTATTTATATAATTTAATTTTGCCCACAGGTGACTGATGCCATGTCCGAGTCTAAAAAGAAATGTAGACAGTACAGAGTTGATTATTTGAAATTTGGCTTCATTCCATCATTGCCTATGTGCCTTTTATGCAATAAAGTTTTGGGCAATGACGCTATGAAACCATTTAAACTGCAAGATCATCTGAGAAGATGCCACCCTGATAAAACAGAGAAAGGTTTGAAATACTTTCAAACACTCAAAGATAAATTTCAGAAGAGACCTACACTGGACAGAATGTTCGCTTCGACGTCACAAAGAAATGATGATGGTTTGCGGGCATCTTACAATATAGTATCTCGTTACTTATAGCAAAATCCGGAAAACCGCATACTATCGGAGAGAAGTTAATTTTGCCAGCCGTTGAAGAGGTTTTAAAAACTGTTTTACTCAAACCTGCATCTGATATCATTAAAAGAATTCCATTAAGCAACAATACTGTTGAAAGACGTATTGATGAAACGAGTTCTGATATTGAAAGCTTCTTATGTAATTATTTGCAAACGACCCATTTCTCTATACAACTGGACGAGTCAACTTTACCTGATAATGCAGCATTATTATTGGCATATGTTCGTTTTATTATGAATCAAGAAATCTACGAAGAACTGCTCTTCGCAAGAACTTTGATAACCGACACTAAAGGTGAATCAATATTTCATGTTTTGAAGGATTACTTCATTGAAAAAGCAATTCCTTTATCAAATATAATATCAGTAGCTACACATGGAGCACCTGCCATGGTTGGACGTTATCGTGGATTTATAAGCTATTTAAAACAAAATGTGTCAGGGGTGTTAGTAATACATTGCGTCATCCATCGACAACATTTAGTTGCTAAAAATTTGAGTGTTAGATTGCATGAATCAGTTCATTTAGTCATTGATGCAGTAAACCGAATCCGAAGCAACGCGTTGAATATGCGGTTATTTGCGCAGTTGTGTGAAGAAAATGACGAACACTTTCATCAATTACTTTTAAAGTTTTAAAAACTGTTTTACTCAAACCTGCATCTGATATCATTAAAAGAATTCCATTAAGCAACAATACTGTTGAAAGACGTATTGATGAAACGAGTTCTGATATTGAAAGCTTCTTATGTAATTATTTGCAAACGACCCATTTCTCTATACAACTGGACGAGTCAACTTTACCTGATAATGCAGCATTATTATTGGCATATGTTCGTTTTATTATGAATCAAGAAATCTACGAAGAACTGCTCTTCGCAAGAACTTTGATAACCGACACTAAAGGTGAATCAATATTTCATGTTTTGAAGGATTACTTCATTGAAAAAGCAATTCCTTTATCAAATATAATATCAGTAGCTACATATGGAGCACCTGCCATGGTTGGAC